ATGGTTTGCTGTTAGGCCTTCCTAAAAATTATTGAAAGTTAAATACTGTTGTACGATATATCTTTCGGCAGACTATCTTTATTTTTTGCTACATGCGCAAGCACAGGCCTTTCTACTAGTTGTAATAACAACGTCAGATGTCCTTGGTTACAAGGATGACCTAAATGTGATAAATTATTATTGTTTCACACATTCAAGAAATTTCTAGCCCTCAGCTATTAATAACGCATATGGTTGTATGTAAAGCACACGCAATATTTATTGCATGAATGCAATATAATGCATTGCTGCATGACAAATAACTTAACAAATACTGACATACTACCGTCTTTGTTCTTAATAAAAAGCTGCACCCAAAATATCTGTATTATCAGTTTTGTGATTGATTCTCATATTTTTAGCTATGTCTAGCTTTTTTGTAGGATTACAATGGATACCTTGCATGTTTGATAGTTTATTGGGAACTTAACCACTGATTACCCTGATGGTTCACTCTCTGTGGCGCTTTTGATGTCGCTATTTCAGAATCTGTGACCTCGATTGAAACGCACGTAGTGCGCATCTCCCCAGAGCATAGAGTTTACGCCACAACCAATGGTAATGCAGCGCGCTCTGACCTTCTTGACAGTGACTCTAGTAAACAAATATGAAAGTTTAAAAAGTTACTAGAATAAAAAGGATAGAGATATATCTGCTTCAACATTCCGGCTTACGTCACACACAGACGTTTTATGTTTACATTTTTATTTTGGTGTCTTTGGGGTCTATCTTCAGTTTTTTTGGTGGAACTGTTTGATGTCTTGTTTGGTAAATTTAGCGTTTATTGTTTACTCCTTGTAAAATCACATTTTATGATTGATTATTCAGGTTCTTTTCGAGGAACTTTTTGTGTTTACCGATATTCGGATTCTTCAGAGTGTACTGTTTACTTTGTATTAAATACTTTTTTGTGTCTTGACGTCGTGTGGCTATGTTTTTCGCCGGATGGAATCAAAGTTAACGAACAGCAAGTAACTATGTTAAAGCTGATTTTTACTTTCTAATTTGGTTCCATTCATAAGTTGTTAACACGCGCAAATTTTACCATTGGCGAAGTTGGGGCACAAAGACTCCTACATCGAAAAACAAGACAATGGAAAGTATTGGAAAAGACATTCTTATTACGGATAAGTTCAACTAGGCATGACTATTTTTAACTTGAAAACTGCAGCAGATTTTGTATTGTTTTCAAGTAAAAATGGTATCATTTTTAAAGTTGAAATTGCCGTGATGAAACATTTGCTTTACAAGTTAAAAAAAGTTTTTTAACACCGGTTGCATAGTGTGTTAATGTAAAAAAAATATTTAATAAAGAAAGTAGAAAAAAACATGATAAATTTACAAATCCATTCGTATCAACTAGAAAAATAGTTTCGACGAGTTTAAGTGTAAATCGGACGGATTATTTCACCGAGTGGATTATTAAGCCACGAGTGTAACGAGTGGTTTATCATCCACGAGGTGGAATAAAGCGTCCGATTTACACTCAAACGAGTGGAATACAACATTTTATTCTTCGAATTAGACTCAATCAGGCTTAAATTTGATTTAAATCTGTTAAAAATAATCTGACGTTTCGTATTCAGAAATGCCAAACAGTTGTCAAAACTTCCTCACACGGGAGAAAAACCGTAAATTTTGACAGTGTCGAAGAATAAAAATAGTTAATTTCCAACTAAAACTAAAACTTGTATATTAAAAATATATCTAAATATACAATACGCCGTTTTATACATACAGAGTGAATTAAAAGTATGGAACCAAATGTTTTTTGCTTGAACTATTTATTATTTGAAAAAACTAATTGTCGCTTGGTTCCATACTTTTTACTCACCCTGTATACTGTATATTAAAATTTACACTGCATAAATAAGTTATTATTTATGCTGATAAATAAGTTATTATTTATGCTGAAACAAACCTTTATGGAAAATAAATGAAATTAATTTATGTGGATTTGTTGCAACTGTTTTTTGAGGTGAAACAGGTCACGAAAAATTCATTTTGTTGCAAAGAACAATCTCTGTTCTAACTGGACCCTACTGGCAAGAAACTACTATTTCATGCAGAAAAAAAATCTGGAAATTGACTAAATTGCAAATGAAAAGTCCCGAAGTTAGACTTTTATTATGTAATTGATTAAGTTAAAAACTTATCATTCTTTAGTTTATCTGTACAAAATTTTGTACAATGTTAACCGCAGCTCATGCATGTAGATCTTTATTTGGTTAGATTCCCCTTCCCTTTCATGGTTTAATTAAAGCCCCGAAGGTCTAAAAGAAAACAAAACACCCGACAACGATCGCCCCTCATCAATAATATTTGTAAAGGCACATGACATGTGCCTTGTTAAGCTCAGTCATTTGTAATTAGTCTCGTTAAATTTTGATCTGCCATACGTCAACGATGTCAATATTTCACTTTCAGGCACGCGAGGTCTTCGAGATGTCCGTATCAACGTTCCCTCGGCGGTAGTTCGAGGAGATGACGCCACTCTGCAGTGCTATTACGATCTGGAGGGCGAGCAGCTTTATGCGGTCAAATGGTATTTGGGCACAACAGAATTTTACCGGTATACTCCCAAAGAGATCCCTCCAATTAAGCAGTTTTCCTCGCAGAGCGGCCTCACTGTACGTGAGGTTGACTCCAACGCCACTTCGGTGGTGCTCGAGCATGTTCCTAGGAGTATTAGTGGACGCTACAGTTGCGAAGTTTCAGCAGACGCGCCCAGTTTTTACACCGCTATCCAATCGGCATATCTGCAGGTAAAAAAATATTAAAAGGTTTCAATGAACAAAAAGTAAATTAAAAAATCTCGACTGTGCTATATTATTTACTGAAAATAGTGAAACTAATAATCTACAGATCGGGATTTAAAGAAAATGCATTCCTTTTTTTTGTCCAATGATTTATATTTTTTACTCTTTCTTATATATTTTTTTCTTTATATTTATATCATTTTTAACACTACTTTACAGTCTGATGTCTTGCTAATAATTGTCATTTGCATTGTTCTTTAAATTTTATATGAAGTCCTTTAAACACAATCACTAATACATTAATCATTAATATATTGATTTACTTATACAGGGTGTTCCGCCTAAACCCCATATTAGAAATATTGGAAGTTCGAATAATTGTATTTATTTGAAAATTGGTACATAGTCATAAACCATTAAGTTCTCCTAAATGAAAATATTTTCAAGATGGCGACACTTCCGCTTATACCGGAAGTCGGTCTCAACTTTCTTATTTTAAACGGAAAGGTATATTTTTTACTGCCGTTTTGGATTAATCGGGTTATTTTAAGGGAGTTTTTATCAGCTTTCTCTATAGTTAAATTTAGCCGTTTTTGAAATATTTGGAGTTTTTCAAATAATTTTGGATCTGCACCTACCACTTTAAAAATCGGTAACTCTGCCATTTTTTAAGACTTTGAATTCGTTTTTTTGGCGTTTGAAAGAGAAAGCTTAGATCCTTTTTCTGGTGTTTACGAATTTTGAAAAAATATATATATCCCAAAATTTTAAGGTTACTTTTGTAATAACTCAAATACTCATAACTCAATTTTTTCAAATAAAATACCCCATTTTTTATTTTTCTAAATAGAAGAGAATTTAATTGTGCATTGATCTGTATTAACATTGCCTATACCTAAATTTAATAATTTTCAAGTTATGGACTTTTTTTTAAGACTACAGAAAATTTATTACTAGTCACACCCGTTTTCACATAGTTTGCTATGGAAATCAGAAATGTCAAAATTTTCTCTAAACAAACGTCAACAGTAAATTACTATTTAAAAATAGTGCCAAAATCTGGAGAATCAAAGTTATGCAAACTTAATTATTATTGATAGGTTCTACCATGCAATCATTATTTAAAGCTAACAAGTGAGAAAAGTTTATTTTTGTTTAATGAACGACATCATAATTTTGTTACACTCTCCATAAATACAAAATAAATTAATTAAATATAAGTTTGAGTAGCTTTGATTCTCCATATTTTGGCACTATTTGTTAAATAATAAGTCACTATCGACGTTTATTGAGAAACAATTTTGACATTTTTGATTTGGATAGCAAACTATACGAAAACGGATGTGGCTAGTAATAGATTTTCAGCAGTCTTAATAAAAAATCACCATAACTTAAAAATTATTAAAATTAGGTATAGGGAATGTTAATACAGATGGATGCAGAATTAAATTCTCTTCCATTTAGTAAAATAAAAATTGGGGTATTTCATTTGGAAAAATTGAGTTATGGGTATTTGAATTATTACAAAAGTAACCTTAAAATTTTATGGTTAATTTTTTTTCAAAATTTGAAAACACCGGTAAAAGATTTAAACTTCATCTTTCAAAAGCCAAAAAAACGAATTGAAAATTTAAAAAAATAGCAGAGTTACCGAATTTTACGGTGTAAGGTGCAGATCCAAAAATTTTTGAAAAACTTTTAGGAATAGGAAAAGCTGATAAAATCTCCTTTAAAATAACCCGATTAATCCAAAAACGCAGTAAAAAAATATACCTTTCCATTTAAAATAAGAAAGTTGAGACCGACTTCCGGTATAACCGGAAGTGCCGCCATCTTGAAAATATTTTCATTTAGGAGGACTTAATGCATTTTGGCTATGTACCAATTTTCAAACAAATATGATTATTCGATTGGGGTTTAGACGGAACACTCTGTATAATTTAATAATTCCACTTGTATGGAATCTTTAGTAAAAATATCATACAAATTTTGGAAAATTTAATTCTAAGATGATGAACATCATCGCTCTTAGAAGGTTAAAAAAATATTAAATAATAATCTTGTTTCTGAATCTAGCAATACGGGGATATTATATTTTGGATAGACTTGTAGTTTTATATCAATCATCTACTCACTCAGTAGAAAAACGTGAAACTATCTCTGAAAACGAAAACTATATTTACAAATCATTGTAAAACACTTCAGCTTAATTTTTTTTTGTTTTTTCCTTATAGGTTGTAGATTTACCGCCAAGAGATCCTTACATAAGTATCAACAAAACACGTTATCATAATGGAGAAATGCTCAAAGCTACGTGCACTTCAGAACATTCAAATCCTGCAGTTAATCTTACTTGGTATGTTAATGGATTGCCTGCGGAATCTAAGTATGTGCATAATAACAGAGAGAAATCAGCTGATGGACAATATCACACGTAAGTGTTTTATCAATTACGCTAAATAGATAGGTTTTCAAACCAATAATGTTTATTTGGAACAAAGCAAATAAATGTCAAGTTACTGAACGGTTAACCTTTTATTATTTGTTATTAAGGAAAGTGAAAATGGTTGTAACAAATTAACTCGATTACATTTTTACTTTCCTTATCCTATTGTAGTCGGCTGAAATTTCACCTACCCAGATTTTTACATTTCTGGACGAATTATAGCTTCAAGACACCAAAAAAGTTGGTTTGGGCCATTGGGTCGTGTGTGTGTGTGTCAGTCTGTAAAAACCTTATCTCGAGAACGATAAGAGATAGAAACTTGAAATTTGGTATGTAATTTACTTGTAGCAAGGGGACGCAGCACGAAACAATTGGTAAAAATCGGTCGCACTATTTTCCAAATAAGTTGGATAAAGAAAGTCGTGTGATGTTCACACCAGATTTTTATTTTTTACAAATCTGGTGATTGAAGGCAGTATTCATTCTTCAAGCTGAATAGCAATGTAGTAGTTATTAAAGAGTTTGCTCAAGTTTTCCTTATACCGGGTGAATAAAAATTATGAAACCGCATATTTTAATTAATTTACGAACCCATCATGGCAATTTTTTTAATTAAAAATTATGATTTAATAATAACCTCTAATTAAATAATAATATATTATAATACAGGTTTGTAAGCAAGAAAAAATTGTTTTTTATTATACCTGCATCATAATCCTAAATTAAAACACGCTGCAGCGTGCGTAATTTGGCCTTTATACCACGCTGAAATTTTAAAGTTGTCTAGGTAACAAGAAATAGTGAAATGTCTGGACCAATTACAACGTGAAAAAATGTGCTTAACAACGTAAACTAGTAACCGTCTCTACGAAAACGATTCACAAACAAGCTTTGATAATTTTATTGTGTAAATTCACAATTTTTCAATGCTCATAAAAGATCGTAAATGGGCAGGTATAATAAAAAATAGCGTATAATACTCGTTTATAATTGCCTTTAAAATTCTTTAAGGCTTGCTTATAAACTAGTACTATCATATACTATTTTAACTAGTATTTTTTTTTCAATAAATTGTTAAAGTTGCATTCCGAGCTCATCACAAAGATTTTCGGAACTTAACCGAACTGGTCGCTTCATGCATTTGCTCATAGGATGGATCTGCTTTTTTGTGTAGGTATTTAGGGGTGATTTCGGATTGATTAAAAATGGAAAAAAGTGAGTTCTTATTGGATTTTTTTATACATCCGGAATCACTCCCTTAATTAGTACCTGCACAAAAAAACGTGGTCTCGTACGTTCAAACGACTACATCGGTTACATTCGAAAAATCTTCGTGATGAACTCAGAAAGCAACTTTATAAATTTATTTAAAAAAACTACTCGATAAAAATTAATTTTATTTAATTAGAGGTAATTTTTAGCTTATAGATTTTAATTTAAAAAAATATCTTAGTTGGTGTTTCTGACCTATTTAACTTCAAAAAGCGCAGTTGCGACGTTGCAAGGGAGTCGATGGTTATGGCATAGGTTTTCTAAATATTTTGGGCACCATAAGACACAAATTGATATTTTTCCAACAGCTATCTTTTAATGTTGCAAGATCTGCCGTTACCGCCAACTAACATTTACAAAAAATCCACATATATCCACAACGCAAAGTAAACAATTAAACTTTAATAAATGTGAGATGAAAACGATGTCATAGTTTAGTTGACTTTTTAATAAATTATGCACATACCTACATTTTTAGTCGCAGAGTGTTTTTGGGTGTTGGAATGATTTTTAATTTTTAATGTGTGTTCGATGTGAGTATTTCAAGGTAATGTATTTTTTATTCATGCATTTCTTTTTTTGAAACTCACTGCTTTGTGTAAAGTTAAGAAAATCATGCTACATTTATTTAAAGGCTGCTAAATACATAATGTATAAACACGGATGAGTTGGGCGAAAACGTGATGGTCATTAAATAATGCAAAGTGAAAGACACATAGGATTTAAGGCGACATTTAGGTAAAAGGATGCTACAAATATATTGACTTTTCTACATTAAAAGATTTTTCTCCTTTCCAAGGAATTATGGGAAAAATTTATTTTTACATAGTTATAGACTTTTTGTGAAGGGATTTTTGGAATAATATGAGCTTGTTTTAATTAGAGAAACGTTAATTAACACATTGCACATTGATACACATTACAGGAGGAAAGTCTATGGAGCAATATATGAACCTCAAAAATGAGCTATAAAATGATGTTAATTTAAATAATAACTCGTGTCCTATCTCTAATGATTAAAATTTGGAAATGACATCAACTTTATTATGTTAAACGGAACACCCTATATATTTTACCACTTTTGGATTTTCTGTTTAATTGTCTTTTAAAAGGTTTTAGTACCATATGCCTGAAACCAACCGTTCGTGAGATATTCGCCAAATAATGCATTTATTAAAGTAGGAGTGGAAAACAATATCAATTAATGTTGACAAATATTATTACTTTGCATTTTTTCTTAATGTTTTTATACCTTTTGGTGTTAATCATGAATGAACATGGAAAAAAGTTGAAAATTTCTAACTATAAAAATTTTGATATTATGGAGGTTTAAATTACCACTTTGACTCTATTTATTTCTGTAGGAAAAACTGTTTTACATGTTTTTTTTTGCTGCAGACTATTAGAAGAGGAAACAAAGAAACTGTGTTCTGAATTGTAACTATCTTAACGTTATTTGTAGCTTTTGTCCTTTATTGAATAATTATTAAAAAACATATACAAGATCATCGCTAACAATAAATAAACATAAAAAAGTTAAATGTCAAAATTTTTTGAAGATTTTTTTGGCATTTTTCTCTGGGGCGCGAATTATAAACTATTCTGTATGCATGTGGACCAATTAATAATTCGAAAAACGTACATATGGCTCTCTCTTTTCAACATTTGTAAACAGCCTTGATGCTCTGTCCTTACGTATTTGCCTAAGGTCGGTCACGCTATTTACGAGTATCTATCTCACTTTAACAAATGCGATTAAAGTAACACAGAGCTAGTGACGTACGTCAAAAGTGTGTCTTACCGTCACGTAGGTCATTTGAGATTTCATTTTTGATGGAGAAAACTGTTTTGAAGCTACTATTTATACCCTCTGTATCATTATAATTCAAATTCTACTAAACCTTAATGCCAGGGAGAACCTTTAATTTGACTTAAAGACCTAAGTACAAGAGCGTAATTAGAACATGCAATAAAAATACAGTATGATGAAAAAAAGGCGCCCGTGTTAACCCACACGTTATAAGTGATCTTTTATTAAAGACGAATTCGAAGACCAAAATTGAATTTGTGCTCTTATCAGTAAGATATAGACTTTCCTTTTTAGAAAAGAGAAATCTATATAATTAATAGTTTTAAAATAATTTCATTGTTAAAGTCTAGATTTTGATATAGTTGACGGTGTTCATTTTTATTTCAACAAAAGACCGACGTTTATGTACTCAATCAACAGTATTATTTTCATTTAAAGTTTGTAAGGGTCATAAATTTATGCGAATCGAATCACTCTGTAACATACACAAGGTGAACAAAACATTTAGAACCAAACATTTCTTGCTCTACTTTATTATTTTTCAGCTATTTAAAAAAAAAAGTATATTTATGTAGTTTGAGTCATAGAAACACTTGGTTGCATACTTTATGTTAAGCCTGTATACATTTACTCATTAAAAAATTGTACCGCTATTAGCGCCGAAGAATTGAGAGCAATATAAAAGGTTAATTATGGCGAAAGCTTTCTCTCATTTGGCGTTGAAAGACTCACAGGGCGTCGAATATTGGAAACAATAACAGCATTACGTTGCACGTTTCCATCAAGCGATGGGAAAACCAATTTGTAACACGCCAATGGAATAACAGTACAGTACCAGAAAATCATGATTTATAATTTATAATCCACGTTGCCATCATTGTCAATCATTTTATAGTATGAGACTTAAGGACAAGAGGCGCATGTTTTTCTGGTCTCTCACTCTCATTTGCTTCTTTGTTTCATAAGGATAATGCACAAGTTTTCAAGCTCTAAAATTTATTTATCGGTTTGTTAATGTGTATCAGATCGAAGAAAAAGTTGAGAAGGAACAATACCTGTGAAGAAGTTTTAGAGAAGTCGGTTCATCAGGAATTTCCAGAATGTTTCAAAATAATTTTTGATAATTGTTGATAATAATTAACGATTCTGTCTCATTATACTCGTGTACAACCTCTTTAGCGAGAAAAATACCGGAAACTATCAGGTTATGGCACCCACATCACGAAAATTAATAATGTCAAACGCAAAATTACAGTGGACCAGCTATTTTTTAAAATTCTGGGCAAATTGGTATTATTTTCGTAACCTAGCAACGGATATAATTTTTCAATCACACCTTGAGGTGCCCTTCTGGGATTGGTGGACTTAAGAGTCTAATAACTTTCTTATGCAAGCAAAAATTACTTCTTCGGCTGCACTTTTTGGCGACCTATTGCCGCCGGCATTTGACATTTTTCTCTGGGGCGTGAGTTCTGGCGCACCTGTATATTACAAACCGAGCAAGGATGCAATAACAAGAAATAGGATGTTCCATTTGAACTTTTTAAGGTATTTAACTTTTAATATACTTCTACATTTTTTATCTTTCTAAATGCAATAGTTGAATTTTTTAACTGTAGTTTTTGTGTAATAAATTTTTAAAAAGAGTATGTTTTTGTCAAAAAAAATCAACTTATTTCAAAAATTAATCAAAATCGACCAATAAATATTTAGCTTTTAGTATAATTAAAAGCTACATCCAGAAATGCCAAGAAACATATGGTGTTTTATTTAAAAAACACAAGTTTGTATTGTTTTAATTAGCGTGTCTTCACTTTAAGTTTGTGCCAAAGCAAATAATGGTTAAAAAATTGGTCAAATTCATGGTTATTACGTTTGCGAACACTATTTATGCTACGCAATTATGGTGTTCATAAAGCGACGACCATTCATAATAACATTCGACAATTTTTGACTACTTGTTGTATTATAACTGACTATTGAATTCGCTTTTCTTTTTTAAAATATTAACCCATAAAAAAGCAGATATTTACTTTCGTATGATAGCTACAGCAAATTCCAGCGAACATTCCACTGGTGGTAAAGCAACTTGCCATTTGATTCATTGAATACCACGAGTAGTCGTAGTTGACTACGTATTGAATTCAAGAGACTATTCAATGAACCAAATGGCAAATTTTCGTTAAACATGATTTCATTTTTATAGCAACCGGTAAAAAAATCAAGTTAGTTCACTGCAACCACTCGTGGAATATTTGCTTAAATTTGTTGTTGCTAAGATGCGAAAGTAAATATCTGCTATTTTATTGGTTAATATTTGAAAAAAAGAGAAGTCAATTAAATAGTCTATAGTACACTAACCGCCAAAATTATCGCATCACATGGGAAAAGTGATTTTTTATTGAAATAACGCTTAAAAAAATAAATGCATCAAAAATTAATTAATTAACTAATTAACGTTAAGTTAAACTAAAATTACGACTTAAACTTCAACAATTAAACTACAATTTAATGATTGTCAAAAGAAACAAAAAAGCGAATTCCTTGCGGATCAGTAGCTTAGATAATAGAATAGATAGATAATAGAATAGATAGAATCTCAGTTTTTTTATTGTTGTCTCTCTGAAATTAGCGGCGATTTTGATAATTTGACATTTATTCAGTAAACAATGAATCTACACCAATTATTTTTGAAAAATGTATAGTCGACTGAGTTTCTTGATAATCCTACTATTCTATATCATTAATTTTAGTACTATTTTCAGAACCATTTAGCCATTTTAAATCTTAAAATTTAAGTGATGCCATAATTATTATGCCGGTCAGTGTAATTATGCTCAACGATATACATTGCTATGAATTTCAAAACTTTCAGTGTCAGATCTCTTGTTTTGTTCAGATTTCACTGTTTTTGATTCATACTTTTCGGTCGTGGAGAAAATACAGTCTGTTACTCGGTTAGAAAAAATTAGATCTACATGTGGTTTCTCACACTCGCTGACGCTCGCGTTCGGAATCTTCCACTCGTATCGAATTTTCATTCTAACCTTGTTACAGAATATACTGTTCTAGTATCTACAATAATAACTGTGATGATATCAGTGATGAACAGATTTGCGATAGTATTGTGAATTGTTATAAATTCTGTGCTAACAATAACTGCTCATGTCTGTGATAAACTTAATTGTTATAATGTTAACAATGGTTAATAATTATAGAGGGTGTTTTGTAAATGGAAAATGCCAAGTAAAATAAGATACCAGGAATATGAAAAAAATGTTAAAAAAAATTCTATCTAAGAAAGTTATGAGAGTGTAAACTTTGCACTTTTACTCTATTTATTTCTGTTGTAAAAATAATTTTCCATGTTCTTTTGCTACAACAGACTGAGGAAACAATGAAGCTTTATCTTAAATTGTAACTATGTTCAACGTTATTTGTAGCTTTTATTGACAAAGTTTTTGTACCTTTAATGAATATTTAAATAGGCATAAAAATATGTCAAATGTCAAAAAATAAATGTCAAAATTGATAGAATTGTTTAAACATTTTTTTAATTTTTCTGGTATACTCTTTTTCATATTGATATGCATCAAGTAGGTTGCAGAAGTCTGAATGAATCTTTAATTTAAAGGCCGATTTACACAAAAAGTGTCATTAATGTCATTCACAACAAATTTAGTTACATCAATAATGACAAAAATCTTTATGTTTGCTATCCTATGTTAATTGCTTTGTTAATTTTAATTATTTTTTGCTACATGGGGTACACATTTATTTGAAAAAATAATTTTAAGGGAAGACTGAGGTTAAGATTGTTTGGATTTTTGCATTAAAATGATCCCTTTGAACGACTACTTCGATGCACATTAATATGAAAACAAGTATATCTTATCTTACTTGGCATTTTTCTTTTTTTTTTTTTGGTTTATTTACAAAACACCCTGTAATGTAAATTTTAAATCAACTGTTGTATTGGATGTTGGAACTATTTTTCGTTGGGATTTCTGTGTTTGAGTTTTAAATATCTCATTTTCTACGTACTGATTGGTTTACCGTGGAACGCTATTGGAATAACTATGTGATACAAGTTATATCCACTACAATCTAAACCGCATCCCTCCAACAAAAAACGCACATATAGGGAGATTTCATTAGTGACGTAACTACCGGCGAGTCCCAATTACCGTAACCACAAAATAAATCCGTTCGTTAGTCGGACCGAAAACGCAATTTAAACGTCCCGTCGATTTGTAGAGCGTCCAAACGCCTTCCGAATACGAAATTGTATAGTGAGTGCGTTTGTTTTTTGTGTTTCAGGTCCCACTCAGTGTTGAGGATGAAGATTACCAAGCAGTCGTTTGTAAAGCACCGCTTGAAAATACGTTGCGTGGCTAGAATGTACGATATTTATTACAAGAGCCATGAGAAAAGTGTCGAGTCGGAAAGAAAAAGGCACCATCATTATTTTGTTACGACTACGGAGCCGCCCGTTCAGTGGGAGCTGGTGGAGACGCTTGGAGCAAATCCAGAAGTTAGATGTAAGTATTTAGTAAAAGATTAGCAATTCAATTTGTACATACGAAAAAGTATACACCCATTGTTAGGTTCTGAACCTACTTCACACACATTCGGACACGAAATTTCAAATAAAAAATAAATTTTACCAATCTAGTCTTCAAATATACATATTTCAGAACACATGAAACGTTACTGACTTGGTGACGTTTCTCAACGTTAACAATTGTTATGATTATTACAATTGTTATAATGTGATCGTTATTACAGCGTCAAACAAAAACAAACATTTTTCTTCTTTATTAAGTAATACACAAAAAGGAAAGAAGAGATGATTCAAAACTCTCGTCTAATAATACAAAGTGATCCACAATGAATGAATCTGTTGGCAATCCTGACCCTAATTTTTAAATGTTACCTTTGGAATACGCTTTTGAATAACAACAATTCAACAATCTTGAGGGGTTGTACGACAAGTATTTGTTAAGCAAAACCATATTCGGTTGCAGTGTTTCAAGTTATTAAGAAAAATACTTTTAAATCTGTTACCAACAGACTCAGTCTTTCTGACTCTTTCGTATTAAATGATACATGTCAAAAAATTCATCAACTTTCTAAATTATACAGGTGCGCCAGAACTCGCGCCCCAGAGAAAAATAAGGTAAGATACCAGGAACATGGAAAAAATGTTAAAAAAATATTATCTATAAAAATTTCGAAGTTATGAGGGTTAAAATTTTGCATTTTGACTCTATTAATTTCTGTTAGAAAAATAATTTTACAAGTTTTTTTGCTATAGGATATTAAAAGAGGAAACAAGGAAGATGTATCTTAAATTGTAACTCTGTTCAATGTTATTTGTGGCTTTTATTGGCAACAATTTTGTCCCTTTAATAAATAATTGTAAAAAAACATATACAATATCATCAGTATCATTAAATAGATATAAAAAAATGTCAAATGCCAAAAAATAAATGTCAAAATTTTTTGACAGATAGAATTTTTTAAACATTTTTTTCATGTTCCTGATATATTACCTTACTTGAAAATTTTCTCTGGGGCGCGAGTTCTGGCGCACCTGTATATTTTATTTTTTATCCAATTTAAACGTATTTATCATTATCTGGAATATACAGTGAGGATTTTATTTCGCTAAACATGAAAAATTGTGTTCAATTAAAAAAAATCATGTCAATGCATTGCAAACAATTATTACAACATATCCATGCAACCCTAGCGGCAATGTTTGCAAGGTTTGCAACAAATAATGCGTGACAACAACTCATATTCAAAAAGTGAACATTGAAACACATGTTCAGCGAAATAAAATTCCCAATGTGTGTACAGGGTGCTGCATTTTGGATGTCCGAATAGGGAATCTCCGAAACTAAGAGGTTTAGCCAAAAACGAGTAATACATTCTGGGGCTTATTTTTTGAGGAAATAATATTGGTTAAAACCGCATCCCGCTATCGTCTTTTGTTTTCGACTTATAGACACAAATTGCCATATTAGCGAAATCTAAAAAAAATCATATCTTCCTTATTATAGAAGACACAGATTTGAAGTAAGTAAGTAAGTAAGTTATAAGGCATTTTTTACGTAGAATGTAGTTAACATTTTTTTTAGTTTTTTTGTTTAGTCGTAATAAAATAAACTTGTATTTTTTTAAATGGGAATCATAGATGGCTATGTCATTTTTAAAAAGCTAGTTTTTTTCTTATCTAAAAAATATATATTTGTAACAAATTATTATTATACATTTTTAGCAAAAAATTATCTTTGATTTTTGTTCGCAGTTGGCCATGAAAAAATGTTGCATCTTCAACTAAAGGGATTTAAACTATATTATTCAACCAGTGTTACTAATGAAAGAGTTTTCTAAGTACTAAACAATGAAAAAAATGCAAAATAAGTCGTAAATCAACTTATTGGCGACTAATAACATCTCTTTGTTTTTAAACAAGCTAACATTACTATTGTAACTTCTAGTGATACATAGAGTGTTGTAAAAAAGCCGCTTTAATTCTTCAATAAAATATATTTTATATGACACAAAATTGACGATATCACTATTCAAATACTCAAATTCCGTCTATGTGAAACGTTATCCTACCTCCATCAGACCATCCAAAAAAATGTTTTTTCTAATTGTGTTGACTGTTGCACATTTGTTTCCCCTATTTTTAGATTTTTTAAAAATATGTATTAATTTTGTTCTGAGGCGCTCGCATATTTGTTCAATACCTCTAACGTATCGTATATTTATAATTTATAATTTTAATTAATTTAATAATTTTATAATTTTATCTATTTTTCAATCTATTTTACAGTTCACAAAGTCTTATTGATTATTATTTGCACATTTGGAGTGAAATAGTTTTCCCATGGCCAACTATTATCAAACAAAATATATATTTCATTTTTTAAGTATAATTTTATATAAAAAAATATTCTGTTACAAATATATATTTTTAGATCAGAAAAAAATTAGCTTTTCAAATTTGCCATAGCCGCCTTTGATTTCCATTTACAAAAATACAAGTTTATCTTATTACGGCTAAACCAATAACTGAAAAAAAATGTTAATTACATTATAAAATTCTACGTAAAAAAGTGCATGTCTTTATTTCAAGTCTGTGTCTTCTATAATAACAAAGATATGATTTTTTTTGGATTTCGCTAAAATGTCCATTTTTGTCTATTCATTAATAATAATTATTATAATTAAACGTGTGTAGGTACCTCCATTTATGTCTCACTAATTGATCCATGATGATTTCCATTTGAGATCTATTACGAATTATACCCTAGACATTAGGGGTTGTCACAATTTATTTTCCAGGAAACTTTACTTGTTTTCCAGGATTTTGTGTATTCATACGCTACTTCACTTGATAATTGTCAATTTTTTTCATATTCAATGTCTGTGGCTTTTGGCCGACTTAAAAGTTTCTCGGGCCGCAGGCCCTCGCCCTTGAAAACCAGTCTCCCTAGGAGGCCACAAACATCCGATAATGCCCTTAGTACATAAATAACTATCATCATCTATTAAGTTCGTTTAATGTGACACATTTATAGATAATTATAGAGGCCATAATATTACAAGATCTCAACGTTATCTTGGTTACTCATAATATTTTCGTTACAAACATAACAGGATAGATACAAACTCATAATACAAGGTGTCTCAAATTAGGGCATTCCGAGTTCAAAGCATTGTAGGCAGGGCCGAGTGAAGCCAAATGTGCAGACCCCAAACATTGCCCCCCTTCACAGTGATGAAATTTGTAATTAGAAGTGTGGCCGAACTGGTCACGCGATTTTTAGACAAGGATGACATATGCGGGCCATTCGTTCCCGAAAGTCCGCCTAATAAAGTACACCTGAGGTGGTTACTTCAGCAATTTTATATTGTTCAAATACATGTTTAGATATACATTTTGAAATGGGACGAAAATGTTGTGAGTCCAGTTTTAAAAGTGGCTATACTAAGAATAATGAAAAATTATTTTTATTTCCGATACCTACCACGGGAAATGTTGCCTTATCGTATAATTCCGAAAAGACTGTATTTTCGCTGCAAATCATGTGTGTAATAGTATATTACATAACGAGCACGGAAAGTGATAAATAACGCACAATCGGGAAAGTTGCGCACGAGGCGTTAGACACTTTCCTGCAAGTTTTGTACACTATTTTTCCTACGACCATAAATCATTTTTTCCTTACGAACATATTTTTTTTCACAACAATTAATTTTTTCTATAATGGATACAAAAATACGTTGAATAACGATATATTTTTTATAATGGATACAGAAAAATACGTTAAATGAAAAAATACAAAACATTCGAGTGTGAATTGTGCGTTAGATTTCTAACACACTGTACGAAAACAAATCGCACAGGTTTTCGACCTCGTACGATATTGCCAATTTTCGCGCATATGTAATTGTGCGTTATGATCTAGTTTCGTTTATAGTCGTAGGAAAAAAACATTTCACAGCAAAACATATTATTCGTGAAATAAAAAATGGCTGTTATACGGTAAATCTAAAGAATAATAGAATATTAATTAAAATTATAGCTACCATAAAACATAATTTTTCTAGATTGAAAAGCTTATCCAAATTTTGTCAAATTTTATCTCAAAAAGCCAAAATTAGAAGAAGAAGCAGTACTAACTATTTTTCCAGATTGTCCAGGATATTATTAAATTTGAACCACAAGTTAAACAAAGCAGAAAAGCAAAAAGAATTGAAGAAGCAACCTCTCAAGATTGTTAAATTGTTGTTAATCAGAAGCATACTGTTGTGGTTTCCTTTAAAAATTAAAGTCAGGATTGCTAACAGATTCATTCATTCTTGAACACTTTGTATATTGTAATCTTACATACACTGGCGTACATGTAATTTGGGACGATTTGTCATTCGACTGCCTTAGGCAACCTCTCTTTCGGTTTTTGTAATTTTTATTCTGATACGTAGCTGGAGAAAAAATGACAACAAATCAAAATAATGCACACTAAAACTTTTCAAATTATTTTTTTTCCACAAAAATAAATAAGGTTAAACTACAAACTTTAGACCCCCATAATTTTAAAATTTTTATAGATAGAGTTTTTATTATTTTTTTTGTTATATTCTTGGTATCTTTTAATCTTCCTAACTTTTTGTCTGAGGCGCGAGTTCTGAAACAACCTGTATAAACAACGATTTTTTCACAGCTGCTAAATAATGTTATTCAACAAGAATTTGAGAATTTCAATTACAATACCCAACTTTATTACATGAAACCCAGAAAACAAAACCACAAACACGGTCATTACAATTACGAAAATACGACTTTCCCAATTAGCTATCCCTTTGTTTGTTTCAACATTCGCGTTGGTTCAACGAACCCTAAAACATTACAATCATACAAAGCAAATTAACTAAAACACAGTCACGGCAAATGGGAAAAATCAACTATCATTCCAAATGAAGTTAGTATACCTAGGTAAAAAGACATTTAAGAATAAATATTTGATTCGTTATTATTTTCAGATTCAAAGTAAGTAAAGGCGATAATTTTTTTTATAGATTTAAATGAAGACGAATTCGGATTTATCGGATTTTGAACTGATTTCAAATTAATTAGATACACAAATTTGTTGCCAATTTTTATAACAGCTGCTTGTATCCTCCATATTGTCACAGAGTAATAATAGTATAATAGTTACAAGGTAGTAGTACAATACAAGCGAGTTGGTAAATATGGCATTACCCCGAGTGCTTACGATCGAAAGGCGCCACCCTCGAGATCGGATAAAGCACAAGGGGTAATGCCATTACCCCCGAGGTTTGTATACGATTTTATTCACAATCACATTATTTTCAGTAAAAAATTTGAGTAAAATAAAATTCTAACAAAGTTAAGGTCCAAACCTGGTAGGCCATCCAAATGGCGTTTGATTTTTGACATTTCAGAAATGTCAAAGAAAATATTGAAATAATGTGTGAATCTCATTTGAAATCGTCGAAATGGAACAGTGTACTCCCCCAGAAGTAAGAGAAACTGCTACAAAAGCAATTGAATACTAATTTAGCAAAATATTATGTCTAACTAGAATTTGTAAGAAAAAATTCTCGGTATTTTTGTAATTTTAAGGTTGGCTGTCCTGCATATTACCGCCCATGAGAAATATTATGTATTATTACTCCTCATGAGATCTAATGATGTGTTTCCCACCCTTTAGAAGGTTAATAATCGGCATATTACCTTAGTGATTGTGAATAAAAGGGTTTTTACTGGCGATAAGATGGTATGTGACTGGGCGTAGGAGGGTGATGATTGGCGAGCCTGTCACCTCCTTAGGCAGTATAACCTGTATACCTTACGTGTCTCATTGAATGTTATAGTTGTTTCTCACTTGTAAATAACTATTATGAACATTAAAAATTCTAGAAGTTCTGACACTTGGAAAAAATAAGTCTGACATATGAAAAATCATATGTGCTTTATACAGAGTGAGTCATCGAAGAATACGACCTTGACGAACCTGAAACGCAACCCATTATACAATTGTCGTTGATACCTAGATTCTATAAACTAAATTAATTCTAGTTTTGGGCATCCCTAATTTGTTTAGAAATGTCAGAAAATTATTAATCAATTATTATATTTGTCAAACTTTATTACCTATTAATATTTGTTTAATGAAAGCAGTGCTCTTCACGTTTATACAGGCTATATTTTGAAAAACGCCCCAAGCCATAACTCCATTATTTTTAAAGTTATCACAATTCTTCTTAGAACAAAGTTAAACATTTTTTGTCATCTATCGTTTGGGATAGATGCTAAATTAATACTCTTTTTGTTTCACCGGAAGTGACATTAACTTTATTTTTTTTAATGGAACATCCTATATATTTTACGATTTTGGATTCTTTGTTTAATTGATTTTTAAAAGGTTTTAGTACCATATGCCTAAATCCAACCATTCGTGAGATATTCGCCAAATAATATATTTATTAAAATAGGTAGTGGAAAACAATATCAAGTAATGTTGAAAATAGTATATTAAGCATCAAGAACGGTAAGTCCTTAACGTTCGTGATTCTTATGACATTTTTTGCTCGATTGATTTTTGTTAGTTTTTTTTAATAAAATATCTAAAAATACTTTGCCGTTCTTGAACATTTTTGAATGCTTACCGACTTAGCAACAATAAACAAAATACTTACCGACGAATTTGGGATAGCTACGAGTAAATACAACTTACGGTCTTGGAAACAGACATGGTAAATAATCCAATAGAGTTTAATCGCGCAAAAATACAGGGTGCGCCAGATCTTGTATATGTTTTTTACAATTAATTAGTAAAGGGACAAAAATTTTGCCAATAAAAGCCACAAATAACATTGAACAGAGTTACACAATTTAGGATACAGCTTCCTTGTTTCCTCTTTTAATAGCCTTGGAAAATTATTTTTCCAACAGAAATAAATAGAGTCAAAGTGCAAACTTTAAACCCTCATAACTTCGAAATTTTTATAGATAATTTTTTTTTAACATTTCTTCCATGTTCCTGGTATCTTACCTTATATGGCATTTTTCTCTGGGGCGCGAGTTCTGGCGCACCCTGTATTATTACTTTGTATTTTTTCTTACTGTTTTTATACTTTTTGGTGTTAATTATGGATGATAATGTGTTAACCTGTACAGGGTGCTGCATTTTGGATGTCCGAATAGGGAATCTTCGAAACTAAGAGGTATAGCCAAAAACGAGTGTTACATTCTAGGATTTATTTTTTGAGAAAATAATATTTATTAAATCCGCATCCCTCTGCGACTGATTATTATTTAAACACATTTTAAGTATCCGATAATAACACGGCGGAAATACCTAAACACACATTCTACGAAAGTCTAAATAAATTCATAAATAGAAGTCAATATAAAAGATTTTTTAATTAAATTTTTATAAACAAAAAACAAACAGTTTATAGCAATGGAAATAAACTGCTGACAATGTTCTCACCAAAATTGTAACTTGGTGATTTCCGTTTGAATAAGAAACTTTTAATAATGAATGTGTTCTGAAATCATAAAACATGCGTAACAGTGCAAATATACATAATAAATTATATCCCACCACCCTTATTTACATCCATAATAAATAAGTCCCTAACCTTTGTGTCTTAATTGCTTATGTTTATTGTTATGCTGTACATTGATAGTCCAGAAACTCTTGCCACCACATCCATATTACAAATAAAGGGCCAGAAGCCGCCCTTTTATTACAATTTGTCATTGCCATGCCACAACTCTAAGTAATAGGCCTATAGCTTCGCACCCTCTCTCTAAATAGCTTAAAACAAAAGCGTCGTCCTTCAATTGTTTCCGTTTATTGTATGACCATAATCTTGAGGGAGTGGTGATTTACAGACAAACGCAATAAATTCAACTGACAGAGACTTAATCCTCTCTATTGTTTCAATAGATTGGCATTTGTCTAGATATAAATTCGAACAATGTGGGTGTGTGCTTTTTCGTCTTTTGTTAATTTATTACTAATACAGAATTTTTGTTATAGTTGTGTTTAATTCTTCAGTTGGTACCTACTTCAGTAAGCCGGTAGTTTCAATAGTGCATTTTGTTATGATTTTGATCCTGTTTAGATGATTACTACAAGATATAGAATTACATTATATACTGAAATAACTTCCACGAATTTTATGTGATACAATAATTATATAAATGTGTTTTGTAAATAAACGCTATTGTATAAATGTTGATGTTTTTTAGACAAAGCTATTAACGCGCGAGGTTGTCTCTTACTCGTTGTTCTTCTTACTTAATTGTTCTTGCTTTTGGCAATTAAAAGTTACAGGAAGTAAACTCAAGCGGCGTTTAATATGCATTCACTTACCTAATTGAAGCTCAAAACGATTTTCTGATAAAAGAAAAAATGTTTCGGTCATTTTCTAAGCCTCATTTTGTTGATAGCGATTGTCTAAATGTATATATTGTATTTATGTACAACTTACAGTAGGACTTCGATTATTATAAATGACTACAAAGTATGAATTTACTTTAATACAATTTCTGTTTTGAAGTAAGTTCAAAAACTCATAACTTCAACTTTAATAAAGATGTGCAGGTACAGTGCGGAAGGAATCAAAATTATTGTAAATCTTGGCTTGTTGGCTTGATGAAGACTGATTTTTTTTAAGTGTCAGGTTTGGGTGTGCCCATCTTTTTTAAAAAGTTTATAACAGCGAAACTACATGTAGCACAGTTATTTTGTACTTTCATTAAATTTCTGATAGAAGTAAATATTTTTTTTTTAGAAACCAGGATTACATGCTAAATATCCATCATAAGTATTAAATAAATATGCACAATTAACAACCTACAATTGCGACCACAAAGTGTGTAGCGTAATTATTATAGGGTGTCCAGGCGAGTTGGTAAAGTCAATTATTGACCTTTAAATGTTATTCAGAAATTTTTATAAAAATAATAATCACTTCCTGTAATATCTAATAGTTATTTATTATACAAGACGATAAAGAAATTGTTTATCTACGCGTGAAAAGGTTAAATTTGCGAGTGACGAAGTCACGCGTGGAGTTTTTTCACGAGTAGATAAACAATCTTTATCGTCGTGTATAATATTTCGTTTTATTTTGTACTCACCCACCAGAATTTCTTGAATATAAACACTATATAAAAATTACTTTATTTCACTAGGCGATAAAAGACTACTTTATCTACTAAAATTAGTTGATAGAAGCACTCTTTAACATTGATTACAAAATAAAAATATTTTTAAGTATACCTAGAGACTGTTTTAAATTAAGCTACAATACAAACTTGTTTTTTTTTTAATGCAACACCCTATGTTTTTTGCATTTTTGTATGTAGCTTTTAACTAAACTTTTATTAGTTGATTTTGCTTAGTTTTTGAAATACTTAGATATCTTGATTTCTTCGATGAAAACCCTCTCTGTTAAAAAAAAAGTTACGTAACAACTAATAAGAATAATAAAAATATAAAATATACATCGTGGAAGAAAAAAATACAACTTTAAACACTTTTTTGTATGTAGGTATAATGCTGTTGAAAAGTTAAAAAAATGAAGAAGTTTGTTAAACGATAAATTGTATTAAATTGTCTATCTAAAACCATACATTTTCATGTCTGTGTCTACAATTAATAAATAAAAAGATATGTATTTAATTTCAAACATTAAAAATAGTTATTTATACAGGGTGTTTACGGTATTGGAGTTGAAAATTGACCTAGTAATAGAAGAGTACTGAAATACTGTAACCGAGGAAAAAATTCACATAATTGTTATTACATATAAAGAATGTTATTTAACTCCAAAATATTGGTACACGGTTTGAGGGTCACTGGAATTATTTCCTTGTTCCGATAAACTTGTATTGTTGCAACAAAAAAAAATCGTATCCATGACAATGAAAGAAAAAAGTCACTTTATAGTTTTGGCACTGTCATCATTTGATTTGCTTTTGGTATGTATAGTTTTTACCAAAATTCGAAGATCTTCAGTTTAATCTCTTCCAGCGAAATGGTTTCTAATAGGTTTGATTTGTTTTTTTTTAAATTTTATTCCAAATTTATGGACATGGATCGCAAATATTGAAATAATAAATTGGTTATCGTGATTCACGGTGAAACACAAGGTAATGATACTGATAGCCATTATTGCAGCTGAAGCAGCAGTTAAAAATTGTTAAAACAATTATTACAAAAAAACACTGACTAAAAAAACAATTTTATTTAATTGGAGGTCATTTTTATAACATAATCTTTAATTTAAAAAAATATCATGGTGGGTTGCCAAAAAACACGGGTATATTATTTTTTTATGTAGATTTAACTTAGACAATAAAAAAAATATAGTATCGTACCCCATTAATTTTTTCGTAAAATGGTTGGTTTACGAAAAAAATGCTTGGTTCCATACTTTTTATTCACCCGGTATGTATCCTATAATCATTTTGAGTGAAGAAATGGTCTTCAAAATTTTGCGACACATTAAATTTTTGGAAATTTTTAGTGGTGTTTTCTTTTGTCGTTTTGATCGCCGATTTGATATTTTTTAAACATGTACAACGGCGAGCATTAAATTATAGTAGTCAATGTCATTCCCTAATATACCCTCTTGTCAAAATTACACAGGGAAACTACTTTTTTGACAAAAATATATAGTTTCAAAATGACATTACTTACCAAAATTTTATGCTTGCCATTGAACCTATAAACAAACACTACTATATAGTTAGTTTAGACGAAAATAATGTTTATATTAAATAAAACTTCAACATCTCGACGACTTCATTCTTGAAAATTAAGATTGTTATAAAAATTGCATGACCCTATGGAAGAACCAATATGAATTTAGCTACACAAAAATTTTCCGGAAATTTTTTGACTCATTAGCTAAAATTAATAAGTGTAAATTTTTTTGACGCAAGAACTCAAATGTTTAATAAAACTTTATTTTAAACATCAAAAACTAAGACTTACAATTGAATGCGTGATGCCATGCAATTTTTACCCGAATACTACTCGTGCATAGATTGAATCCGGAAATTTGTTCTCGTGATTGGCGAAAACGCGTTCCGCTCGAACTAATTAATGACGTTTTTGACAATCACTCGAAAAAATTTCCGAAAACAATCAATGCACTTGGCATATTATAAGTGAAAACATATCGTGTGTCATCAATTCGTGGTATCAAGCTGAGCAAGTTTTTAGTGTCGATAGGAAATGTAAACCTAAATTTGCTAACTTTTATGCATACGTGTAGATACGAGTAGTAAAATATGTAATAAATAATAATTAATTTGCAATTTTGCGGGTGGGCACAAGAATGGTGAAATATTTTTTGGGTGGGCACTGAAACACCCGGGCCCACCCCTAGTTCCGCCACTGACTTAGATGTTTAGACGATGTTAAACTTTTATTGGTCGATTTTGCTTAGTTTTAGAAATAAGACGTTTTTTTTACGAAAACATGCACTTCTAAATGAGTCATAGGCTACTTTGATCAGAAATTTAATTGAAACCTACTGTTGTATTCATCATATTTTAAGGTAATATTAAAAATTATCTTGGAGTACGGTGACCATGGAATAGTACTGTCTTAGAGTTATAAATTTTCGAAAAAGACCTCCAATTAACTTCAATATGAACAAAAATAAAAACACCACATTAAATGCAAACCTAAGAACATATTTGGCCGCAATTGTATATTAATTTAAAGAATGTATATTTTCGAATATTTGATAATTCCGTACCTGTTAGAAATAGTCGATATCCTTCTGTATAATCTGAAACTGTGCAAATAAGGAATATAAAACATTTGTGTTAAAAAATAAATAAAGTTTGTTGGCTTGTAAGTTAAATAATCCGTCCGTGCTATCGAATTTTCAGTGTTTGTAGAAAAAGAAATTATGTAGCCCAGACTGAAATGAAAAGATGAGAAAAAGGAATAAATTAGTTTACTACAACTCGTGACGACGTCATCCTAAATATAGTTAATTCAGTTGGATGTCTTTTATCACCATACAAGAGGTGACCTAAGACTTTTGAATTAGCCCCTACATGTATATACTCGTATGAGTATACAGGGTGTTCCGTTTTTATTGTTACAAACTTAAACAGGTGATAGAAGATTCAATTTTAAGACAAAAGTTTCCTATGAACATGTATCAAAAAATGTTCCGTAAGCGAGCTACACCCCCTGAAAGAGATGCGTTTTTAATGCTGTTTTCCCATTATTGCAGAATAGAAAAAAATACAAGAGTTGGTACAGCTGATTACTTTTAAACACCTGAACGAATTTAAAGATCAGTTCTCGAAATTTTTAATCACGGGTGTCTTAAACGGTGAAACAAATTTAATTTTTAATTTTTATCCTCTTTATAGTCTGTAAGACAAATTGTAAACTGATTTTACTCAAAAACGGTAAGTTTTATCGAAAAAACGCAAGAGACCTCTTTTTTGTGAAAAACTATAAAATTTAGAATTTTTTGGCTGAAACTGGTAAAAACCAACCACCAAAATAGTTAGGGTACTTTCTACCCTAAACCCCTAGTTTAGGATGCCCCTGAGAAACATTTCGACATTTTATCTTTAAATTCATTTGGGCGTATAAAAGTTATCAGTTGTACCAAATTTTGTAATTTTATCCACGAAGCTTCCTGAAATATTGGAAAAAATCTATTAAAAAATGCACCCCTTTCAGGGGATGTGGCTCCTTTGTATAAATTTTTTCGATATATGTTTATAGAAAAGTTTTATCTTAAAATTGAATATTCTATCATTTGGTTAAATTTGTAACAATAAAAATGGAACACCCCGTATATTTTTTAATAACTCAAGAAATAATTTGGTACTGTATTTTACAAAATTTTGGCGTTTTAAGTAGGTACTTTGATTTTATTGGATTTACAAAGCGTCTTTTGCAGTTTTCATTTTTTTTAGTTATACGTGGAAAATTTCCATTCCTTCCTGTAGATATATCAGGAATCTACAAATGAATAAACAAAAAGAAAATATAATATACTGCAACTTTTATGACAAATTCACAAATTATCCCATTAAACGTACATTTTTTTTGTTTGCATAAACAAATACAGCCAACAAATTTTATATCGTTGATTTATGTTGTTTTTTTTCCAATATGATATGTATTTTGTAAAATTATTATATTTTTGTACAGCAAATTTTCCATGCGTAGAATTAATTTAACTGTAAAACAGTAATGATAATGAAATTACATGGTGTCAATTATAAACAATGAAGTAGCTGCCACAAATCGATACTCAAAGCATTATGCTAAATGCGATGAGTGGCTTACGAGATATTACACAATTTAATACAACTCCATTCAAACAATAAAATGAAAACAACTAATAGGATGCATTATTAATTTGACGCACAACTGAATGAATACACACAGTCCGAGTACACCGTTGACACCCAGTAACTTCATTTTCTTATAAGCGAATGCTGCTGCAGGGCAGAGGGAATCCTTCGAATACAAATAACCCCATTTTTTTTTTTTTTTTTTTTTTAGAAAAAATGAGAATACTTTTACATTAAAGACTTCAGGCTGCAATTGTTTAATAAATGTAATTACTTATAAAGTAAAAGAAAAAATAAATTGTATTTTGTATCTGATGTAGTTTTTTTTCCTGTATCGTTTTCCATGATAAAAATGAGGAACGATGACCCAAAATAATGTTATTACAATACTTGATCTATTTATATTTAGTTATGTACAAATTTATTTTCCTATCAAAAATCCATAAATGAAAATGTCAAGGTCTGCTGCGACTGAATAAGCTATTCTTTACATCAGTTTGATTTATCATTACTTTGTTGTTCGTCTGCAACAGAGGCCAAAGAATAAAATGAGAATTCCTCGAGTCGGTGGAAGTACAGGAAGACGATTGTGACGATACTACCTTTCTTGATTTTTATTGAAAAGTATGATTGATCACCCGAAATTTCTTCATGTATGCGGACAGATTTATCAATGACGAGTAAAATCAGCAGTTATAAAGACATTCATCATTTTTATGTGTTTTCGATAACGTGAAAAATTGCCTGCCGAGAGGCTCATACCGTTCGTAGTGTTTCATCAAAAAAACAATTTACAAAAAAGATTGATTCCCTAGTATTATTGTATATTTCAAAACTGACGCTGGAATAAGTGATTGGGCGCCATCTACTAATTTATGAAAGAACTAGATTCCAAGAGATATCTGTAAAACTTTATTTTAATCGAAAAAATCCATATTTACAAGGAAATAATTAAACTAATTTTAAACCAACACCTCCCTCTTTAACACTTTCAACTGTTCAATTGTATTACAAGTCTCAATTAATCTAGTTTGGACATTGACACCCCTAATAATCCACTGAAGAGCCTGTTTAAACATGTTTTGTGCATGGAACAAATCTTGTGGCACTAAATACCCAAACCACCTAACAGGATCAATTTGGTCTTCTTTCTTAGTTACCTCCAATTCCCTCGATTTCTCTCCCAAAGACTCATCACTTTCTTCCAAATGTACTCGAGTCAAAGCATCAAATTCAGGACTGTTTTCTGTAGGTAGCTGTAATGATGAGACACTATTTTGGCCCAGAATGTATCGAGATTTAGCCAGATGCGTTTCGCCCCCGCACATGGCGTTTTCGACATTAAGTTTGATTTGAATGTCTTCCTCCATTAAAGTTAAAGCATCTAAGGTTAGTTTGTCTAGGACACAGCATATTCGATCAATATCTGTCATGTTTTTTATCAGACTGTGATCTAAAAACATTGGTAAAATACGTTACTTAACCTACGCCGAACGAAATTGCTTAAATCTACATTTACCAAATTTTAACCACCTACCTTCCCAACTTTATTTTTTAACAGCTAATGTTTGACAGCAAACGTATGTCATCTGTCGATCTATCATGTGACTTTCAAGATTTCTAACTTATCGACTTAGGTGTTTCAAACCAACAACAGATGTCTTCACTTACTTTAATTTTTATCCATTTTACAAATACATATACTCTTTTTCATATTAATGTGCTTAAATTTGTTCTGAATGACATATTAATGACACTTATTGTGTAAATCAGCCTTTAAGTTAAAGATTCTACTATAACCTACTTGATGCACATTAATATGAAAAAGAGTATACGAGTACCTACAAGTCTCTCTAATTCTAATACACCTAATAGCTTTTGTGTTTTTTTTTTATTTCAGAAAACTACACGTAAACATACTTCTCGTGCTATTTTTATTTGGTAACCTTGCAACTGGGTTTTTTGAGAGGAAATAGATCACAAACATTTGATTTCTGTGTAAAAGAAATATCTAAGTTATACGGGACCCTACTGACAAACTTTTCCATACAGAAAAAACATTATGAAATGTTTAGAAATGGCATGAGGTATACATACAGAGTAGTTATAAATGATTTTCATCTAACCAGCTTTATAATTTTTTTGCTTGTAACTTTTTTTGAAAGGTCTAGTTCTGTCATTAGTGTCACTTATTAATTAATAATAAATTGTTGTTAATTAAACTTTTATTATCATCTAATCTATCATCTAATTTCCAATAATAATTGATAATGTATACTTTGAAAGAAAACAAGTTTATAATTGAAGTCTATTTTCGAAGTGGACGCTTAGTAAACGGCGATTTTTTAATTTTGAGTTAAAACAAGTAGGTTTCGTAAAGCGGCATTTTTTTTTTACATGGAAAATTCACAGCTGGCTAGATGAAAATCATTTATAACCACTTTGTATTTGCAAATGAACGTGTGAATTTGTTAAAAATCATAGTTTCTAGGTTTGTAGTTATTGTACTGTTAAAAGTTTGTTTTACAGTATGTCCCCGGATTGAATTTTTTTGCTTCACCTGAAACGAGCAAATCTAAAATTAAAACTTCAATATTCTGACTCATTAGAAAGAAAAGTTCATTTTTCTCTTGATTTTGGACTATCATTATTTAATCAATTACTTAACTGATTGTCCAAGTAACGTCGTAGTCAAAAAAAATAAAACCGCCATTGTGATGAGACTTACTTGCATATAGAAAAAAATACAAATCCAAAATCAAGAGAAAAATGAACTTTTCTTTCTAATAACAATTTTTTCTTTTTTCTTTTTTTTCTTTCCATAACAATTGTTAGGGTTATTAGATTAAAGTATCTGCCAATGTGATGAAATTTAAAATGCGAGAAAAATATTATTATTACAAGTCCAAAATCAAGAGAAAAATGAACTTTTCTTGCCAATGAGTCAGAATAATAAAGTTTTAACTTCAGATATGCTCGTTTCAAATAAAGCAAAAATGTTTTTATTCACAATCACTAATGTAATATGCCGATTACTAACCTTTTTAAGGTTGGGAAACATGTCATTATTTCTCATGAAGAGTAATAAATGTTACTCCTCTTGGGTGGTAATGTGCAGGATTGCCAACGTTAAAATTACGAAAATACCTGAAATTTTTTCTTTTAAATTGTCAAGTTACGCATAATATTTCGCTAAATTAGTATTCAATTGCTTTTGTAGCAGTTTCTCTTAATTCTCTTAATTGATTGCTCCATTTCGACGACGTTAAATCAGATTTACACATTATTTCAATATTTTCTTTGACATTTCTGAAATGTCAAAAATCAAACGTCATTTAGATGGCCTACCACGTTTGGACCTTAATTTTGTTAGAATTTTATTTTACTCAAATTTTTGACTGAAAATAATGTGATTATGAATAAAATAGCATACAAACCTCGGTGGTAATGGCATTACCCCTTGTGCTTTATCTGATCGTATACATAAGCACTCGGGGTAATGCCATATTTACCACCTCGCTTGTAATATACTATTCCTTTTCAGTTTTGGTGTAAAATCAAAGATAGAAACTATTTTTCTTTTGTAAACGCAATCCAGAGACATACTGTAGGTATAATATTTATGTTCTACACAACCAAAGTTGTCTTTATTTTAACATTTCACAAATTAGAAACATTTAAAACGTAGGTGGGAACAAAATTATTATTATCTTGTTCAGTTTCAATCAACAGATGGGAACCAAAATGTTTTCCAATCTTTTTTTTGCTTTATTTAAAACGTAGGTTGTCATTCTTTTTTATGTTTTTTTAATACCTTACTAAATCAACTCAGATTAGTTGAGATCGTAGGTTTTTAATAATGTGACTTGAAAAGTAAAAAATCTTAATTTTCTGATAAGCTTTGCTATAATTTTCTCATTACTTTCAATTGCATAATAAGTGACCCACTCTCAATTTACGCTATCCTGTATATGATTTGATATAAATACCCAATAATAAAGAAGCTTTGACGCGTTGGAGCAAAAGGCGGGACCTTGTTTTGATCCTTGAGTGATGTAACAATCTAAAATAAGCCAAATCTTTTCTTATTCAAATTAATATCGAAATGATTATAGAGGATGGATTTGTCACTTGCTCACAGTACAGTCACTCTCTAAAGGCGCTTTCACAAGAATGCAAGGCATCAAGGTTCTGTATAATCCCGTTGCATATGCGACGAATTAAATGCAAAGCCAAGGATTTGCATCGTTTTGAATCATTGAATCCTTCGAATTTCCACTCGAACGGATAAATATTCATAACCAACAGACTCGCAATTAAGTATTGCAATTACAAACCATTATTTTTATGCACATGTGTTGTAAAAATCAAGTTCATGGTAACTTGCAGCTAATTTTTTAAAATATGATCAATAGTGATTTGAAATGGGTCCGGCATTGACCCATACCCATATAAAGGAACGTATTTCACTGAAGTCTGGTCGAGTTGGCCCTGGCACCATGCACTTATTACATACATCACATACAATCAGGCCACTTGATCTCATAAAAATAAGACAAATCAAAAGGTACTTGATTCTTAAATAGAATAATTTGCACGACAGGTCCACACCCACGCTCTTTTTCATTTGAAGAATAAACTTGACATTGAGGTCGTCGACGAAAATAAAACTTTTGAAAGGGGTTTTTCGGAAAAGAAAACACAGACGGCGTCGCGACGGGAATATTTTCTTGTTTTAATTCAACATAATAATTCAATTTGTATTGTTTGATTCAACAATAGTTTAGTGCGTGAGTGGATGACCAAAACTCACGCCCCGATGGGTTGCTTTTTAGACCACAGGTGCTGGAAGAGTGCGGAATTAACAAAAAATTACTCCCACAATTTCACAAGAATGGGCTATTACTTATCTCGCATTAAAGAATCGCAATAAAATTGCAAGTTTTACAAAAGGAATTGAGATTTTGCCTCGCAGATTTTTTTCAAAAAATTAATTGGTTAAATCTTAGTCTTAAATACCTGCAGCTGTATGAGCTGTTAATTACTTATCAGTTACTTTTACGTCGAACTGTGCCAAAAATAATTTATCTTAAAACTTTTGGCACAACGCTTCAATTTTTTAAAATTTAACTCCTATGTTCGCATGTTTTGGAGGTTGTTGACTACTAGTCGTTCTTTTTAAGTAGGTGTAAAGTCAGTAGTGCAACAAATCTTTTAATAATTATTATTAAATAAACAACAAACTACTAAAGATTGCAAATAATTTAAAATGCTTAACTATCAATTATAGATACAGGCTGTTTCAGAGCTCGCGCAATAGAGAAAAAGATACCAGCAACATGGAAAAACTGTTTAAAACATTCTATCTGTCAAAAAATTTTGACATTTGATATTTTTTATGTCTAATACTACTGATGAGTGCTGATCTTGTGTATGTTTTTTCATAATTATTTAGTAAAGGTACACAGATTTTGCCAATAAAAGTCACAAAAAACGTTAAACATACTTACAATTTAGGAATACAGCTTCCTTTTTCCTCTTCTAATAGTCTAGAGCAAAAACGGAACATTTATTTCTCCAACAGAATTATAAAATTAAAGTGCAATTTTTAAACTCCCACAATTTCGAAATTTTTTTGGATAGATTTTTTTAACATTTTTTCTATGTTCCTTGACATCTTACCACATGACATTTTTCTCTAAGGGGCGAGTTTTGAAAGACCCTGTATACAGGATGTGTGAAAAAAAATCTTATAAAAGTTTTTTAGTTACCGAGATATACCCTGTTAAAAACACTATTACTCTTTAAAATTCTAGATAATTTGAACTGATGACACCAATACCGACCTTAGATTTATTCAAGCCACACCATAGTTAAGTGAATCGATTTTCTTTATTTGGTTAGGGTTAATTGGTATTATTTGTTGACATTTGTCAAAAATGAAGAAGTTTTGTTTAACATATTTTTCATTTTTTTACTCACTGATCATACATGTCACGATTTCTACACAAGTGTCTTATATGGCAAGTACAATTAATAATCCAGTTTTTTGTGCAAATTTGTATTTTGTATTAGTAACAAGTAGTTAGAGCAAGCGCATACTTACTTACTTTTTTTTTGGTTTACTAAAGTTATAAATATCACATATTGTTATTATGGCTGATTGCTGTTTTGTAGTTGTTATAGAATGTTATATTTATATGTATTAGAAATAATTCACGCAGGGAGATGTTTACTTAAGAGTCTGTATAGCGATAATAATACACGTGTGCCATACTTTATCCAATACCTCGTAATTGCTTTGAATTTTGATGGCACCACTTTAAATAAAGCAAATAAGTAAGTAAATACTTGTAGGTACAGTTTCCAAAGCTTTATGCAAAAATTTCATTTTTGTTTTCATTTTTTAAGATTCCAGACATTTTTTCTCTTAAATGCACAAAAGTGTCACAAGTTCGGAAAAATATAACTCACGTGTGAGTTATATTTTACTTCACACGTGAGTTATGCGATATCTTATTCATCTAAAATCTCCATAGTTATTGTTCAATGATTAAGAGCTGCTGGATAAAAGATTTCAAGGTGCTTTTTTGTTTATTTAATATTGTTATTTTTTAGTGACTACTTTTATTACTAAATCTCACAAGTAAAAGTTTTACTTCTTTCGCTGCTTCAGCAATTTCTAGAGAGGTAACATTGTAGATCATCAGCATTCGACATTTTGCACTACATTTTGTTCATTTACTTGCTAAGTAAAGGTTGCTCTTTACTCGCGATTTAAAAACGATTGCGGATAAAATAGTATATGTTATTCCGAGTAAAAGTGAGTTCTGAATTATTTACCTTACTGCGTTCGGCAAAATAAACAAAACTGTTTGCCTACCTTTAATGTTTAATTCTTTCATACATTTTGTATTGGGTTTACACCGAAAAGACTTCTCTGATTTCTCTATCATTCCGTGAGAACTGAATGGCACTAATGATCGTTCTCTGCACTGATGCCAGAAGTTTGCAGCTTCAGATTTTGTTAAATGAGTGGGCTCAGAGCTGAAGTGGACTAAATCTAAATTTATTAATTAAAGCCATACAACGAAAATTCTTTCTAATTTTGACACTGAATATTGTTTATTAAATGGAAGAGACTATACAGGATGCGCCAGAACTCGCGCCCCAGAGAAAAATGCCATATAAGGTAAGATACCATGAACATGGAAAAAATGTTAAAAAAACTCTATCTACGAAAATTTCGAGGTTATGAGAGTTTAAATTTTTCACTTTGACTCTATTTATTTCTGCTGGAAAAATAATTTTCCAAGTTTATTTGCTATAGGCTATTAAAAGAGGAAACAAGGAAGCTGTATCCTAAATTGTAACTCTGTGTAATCTTATCTGTTGCTTTTATTGGCAAAATTTTTGTACTTTTATTAAAATAATCGTAAAAAACATATACAATATCATCAGTATCATTAAATAGACATAAAAAAATGTCAAATGTCAAAAAATAAATGTCAAATTTTTTTGACAGATAGAATTTTTTAAACATTTTTTTCATGTTCCTAGTATGTTATGTTACTTGAAATTTTTCTCTGGGGCGCGAGTTCTGGCGTACCCTGTATGTGTAAGTAAGTATAAAATTAATGACGATTTTTTATATTTTAAGACTTCGTTATTAATAACTACATACACCTACACTGTTTAACTTTGTGGTACAAAACAATTTGCAGCAACTTACCGAGACAACTAGAAAAATACATTAAATATTAATGATTTCTTACATAAAACACCGACATGACAATAATGCTCTGTCAGCCTGATCTCAATGTTTGATCAATAGTAGCGTTTATGCAAGAAAAAAATCCAAATGTTTTAAATTAATCATATGAAATTTATTAATTAAGTAAGTAATTATTTATGAATAATTACTAACTTTACAATAGTCAAATCCTCCTACATTATTGTTTACGTAACAAAATAAATAACAATATTCTTAATGAAGGAATATTCCGAAAATTGAAAATCTAAAGACAAAACAAATCTAAACTGTAGTTGCAATCGAATAAAATATAAATTTATGTTATCTATATTCTAATTAAATATGAATGATTACGAGTTGTCAGATTACAATCGACTCATTTAATAAATAACAAAATCCTCGACAAAAACTATAGAAGAACATTGCAGTTATTATGACAGGCAAGAAATTAATCACTCGTCCAATTAATGTTTTATTACCAGGGACAGACAAGAATTTTACTGCCCCCGTAATGTGGGCATGGAACTTTGTTCTTTTTTGTAATAACTTTAGAACCATTTCACCAAATATCATAAAATTTGGAACAGTTACTTGCAAAAATATATCTTTTGAACCGGTAATCACGAAAACTGGATACGTCTACTTAATTTTCGGTTGCTGCAGTTGCATTTTCTGTGTTTTTTCGTTTTTTTTGCTCTCTTAGCATAATTTTTCTCAAATCGAAAGAGTAAAGTTCGTCTATATTTGCTTATATTTTATGGTGCATTACGTAATTTTCCAGGTATATTATTTGACTCAGAGTATTTGAACTGAAGAGTTATGAATTTTATGCACACCTCTGTATTTTCTTGTCTTAGTTGACAAAGAACGTTTGAGTCGAATGTTAACAATTTAATATAAAATTGCATCATAGTTCACCTAACAAATAGGAGAATTCAGGGTGTACAAAAATATTCTTACAGAAATTTCAGCCACGAGCACTCATTAAGTACATACATAGCGATAATGTCTTCCATTACAAATTTACAACTCTCCATAAATGCACCTATTTATCTCTAGAAACATCTCGAAAGGTCACCCACAAGTTGCAGTAACGACATCGAACAAGTGCCAGTTCAGTTTTAATTATTACTTAAGTACGTGCATAAGCTTACCAGTTATGACGTCATCAGCCTCCACCTACTGTTTGATGCCTGGATCAGGACATATCTCCATATTCGGCGCGCCTACGAATTTCGATCAAAAACCTTCACCGATTCTGCGGAAATTTCTTTATTCTGCAACTAAAAATTATATCTTATTGATAGTGACGTATATTTGACGATTTGTGCAAAAGTGTCTTGGACTTTGACATATGCAAATGTGTAAATTTATCTTTATTGGTTTCAACAACCCTTTCTTGATTTTTAGTGTTCAAAGAACAGTAGAAGAACTGATTTGACACAGTATTACTTACTCTCTGCAATACAAACACACTGTGGGTTTTCAACCTAACAGTAAATTATTGGCGTTGGCGATTTTTTTATAAATAAAAATTGTTCGTCACCGATCAACAGTTTAAAAATTTGTGTGACAACTGCGTGGATTAATAGGAAAAGTAAAACGAGACATCGAGATTTATTTATTTTGAGTTATGTCCTATGATTTTATGGAAAATGGGTATAATTTTGTGATTACATACCTATATGGCTGGTAACTTGTTATTACATATTTATTCCCTCATATGCAAAACATTTTTTAAAATTTTAACCATGACAATCTGTGGAATTACACATTTAAAATATGGCAAAACGAAAACCTCTAGATATACAGGGTTATTCATAAATATGAAGCAATATTTGTTTAATTTAAATAATAACTCGTGTCCTATCTCTACTGATAAGAATTTTACAGCCCTCGGAATGTGGGTATGGAAATTTGATTTTTTTGTAATAACTTTGGAACTATTTGACCAAATATTATAAAACTTGGAACATTTCCTTGTGACAACATACCCTTTAAACTGCTAATTACGAAAACCGGATACATCCACTCAATTTCCGGTTCCAGCAGTTGCAAGTCACATTTTCTATGTTTTCACATTTTTTTGCTCTCTTAACACCAATTTTTTATTGCCCAAATCGATAGAGTAATCAATTTCGATTAAAAAACGCATAACCTTTAATACCCCTAAAATGGACCGTTTCAAAGATATTTTAATTTAAACTGAGGACTGCACAACGCTGAAAAGTAGGGATTTTGAATGGATGATATCCAAGGTAACAAATGACCATGGTCTCACTAATCCCTGTCAGGCATCTGTCAACTTTGACATTGGACGATTATTAGACAATTAATCGAAAATATTTAATAAAAGAGTTTACCTCAGATTCCAAACATAACTTAGAATAAATCCAAATGGATCTCGTAGCATTTAATTCATAAAAAATTTACAAAAAATTATCGTCAAAGTTAACAGGCAGGGATTTATGTGACCATGGTCATTGGTTGCCGTGGATACCATTTATTCAAAATCCCTATTTTTTGATTTCAGCGTTGTGCAGTCCTCAGGTTAAATTAAAATATCTTTGAAACGGTCCATTTTAGGGGTATTAAAGGTTATGCGTTTTTTAATCGAAATTGATTACTCTATCGATTTGGGCAATAAAAAATTGGTGTTAAGAGAGCAAAAAAATGGAAAAACACAGAAAATGTGACCTGCAACTGCTGGAACTGGAAATTGAGTGGATATATCCGGTTTTCATGATTACCAGTTTAAAGGGTATGTTGTCACAGGGAAATGTTCCAAATTTTATAATATTTGGTCAAATAGTTCCAAAGTTATTACAAAAAAATCAAATTTCCATACCCACATTCCGAGGGCTGTAAAATTCTTATCAGTAGAGATAGGACACGAGTTATTATTTAAATTAACATTATTTTATAGGTCATTTTTGAGGTTAAAATATTGCTTCATATTTAAGAATAACCCTGTATGTATGTAATTAATAAAAATGGAATAAAAATAAAAAAACTGAAACTGTCTATCCGAAATAACACAACGATACAAAATATTTAATCATTATTTATGCATCTATTTAAATATTTATCTTAATTACACATTCCAGTTTATCATAGAATTAGCCATACTAATTGGTATTGCGTCTATTAGTTAATTTAGTATTAGTTATTTTGATTTATATCCTGGAATTCGAATTTTATTTTATTTTTGATCATAAATAAATTTATAATATGTACATATATTTTTTAATTTCTTCTTTTGTTTTTGTCTTGTAGTTCAGACGTACTCCTAAACCTAAAATATTATAATTTTTAGGCCCTTTTTATTTATTTGTTCATCTTTAAAACAGTTATTAATTCAAAACTAAATTTCCTGTAAACTTAATACAAAATGTTTTTTTATTAATGTTCCTTGAAATCATTATATTTATTAGGTACGTCTTTATAATAAGTAAGCTTTATATTTTTTTTTTCTATAAGTGGAGTGTTTAATCAAAAATACTTCAATAATAACTAGTTATTTATTCGACGAGTTTGAGTGTAAATCGGACGCTTTATTTCAAGAGTGGGTTTTTAAACCACGAGTGTTAACGAGGTGGAATAAATGAACCGATTTAGACGAAGACGAGTTGAATACAACATTTTATTCTTCAAATTAGACTCAACAAGACTTAAAATTACTTTAAATCTGTTAAAAATAATCTGACGTTTCGTATTAAGAAATGCCAAACAGTTGTCAAAACTTCATTACACAGGAGAAAAATTATAAATTTTGATAGTTTCGAAGAATAATAAAATAATAAAACAACAATAAAAACAATTATGTTTAGTAATATAAAAATAAATATGTACCAATAATAAATAATATTCTTGGGTAGGGACCATACATAGACAGGATTGCTTAGTGAGTGATTTTAAATAAAAAATCGGTTAAGTATGGGTTTTTTTCGCTGGGTTATTAGTAAAAATCTGTATTATATTATATTTACCTAGAACTTTATTAGTAGCCAAAAAAATAAGACATTGAGCACAATATCTTTCTTAGAAAGTTTTCAACAATCTATTTCTACGTGTTTAGGAATATAATAATAAATAAGTTTAATAATTAACTCCTTGTGTTCACTTGTCTTAATTAATAAAAATGTTCACTTCTTTCCACAGTCTACTTTATTTTCAAATTGCCTAAAGACAAAAGTTAGTAATAAGTATAAATAATAAATAGTAATCTTGTTGAAAACGAGGAATTTCAAAATAATAGTTATTTATTATTATTTTAGTAGATTAAGTCCACTCGTGACTTCGTCACTCGTAAACATAACTTTTGCACTCGTAATTAAACAATTTCTTTATGGTTGTGTATAATATTTTATTTTATTTTGTACTCACCTACCAGAATTTCTTCAAAATAAACAGTAGATAAAAATTACTTTATTTCACTAGACTAAAAAAGACAACTTTATCTACTGAAATTGGTTGATAAAAGCACTGTTTAACATTGGGTACAAAATAAAGAAATTAATTTTGCAGACCTCAAAAAGTTTATTCCAACTTTTTTCTTGAAAAATAAACACATTTGTACTTTATTACTATTCGTCATTAAATTTTTCAGAAAGTGAATAATTTTCGAGTAAGAGACGTGTGGTTCCAATAAACAATATTTGAAATGGTACATGTATAAAAGGTGTAAATACTATTAAAATTACTTTTAGTATCAAACTCAAAAAAACTGTTTTTATAAAACTAGGAAGTTAAGTATTTGCAGGAATGAGCAGGTTTGTAGTAATCATGAATAACTAAAATAGAAGGATTATATTTTATTATAAACATTTAATGTTTTACGAGAAGAAAAGTTCATTCTTAGTCAAAGGTAGGTAAAATGTTAGTTTAAATATGCTAAGTAAGTAAGTAAACTGTTGAAATAGCAAGCAATTAAGAGAATTATTACCATATTATACAATATGACTGAAACGAATAGAGATGTTTCAAAAAATTGTGTTACATTACAACAATTTCAAACATTTACGAGTACTTAGGTTTTTTTAGGTTTAGTATGGCATATATCTGAAAGCAGTTTAAAATGCTCAATAGTACCTACAATAATAATCTTTAAATTTTTTCAAAACATTTATTGTCACGATATTACTGTGGTATTACTATTTATTAAAATGTGGTATCAATCAATAATTATTAAACAGTAAATTTTACTTTGTAAATTTGTAGGAAAATTTACTATGATTTTTGATTATTACGAATCAGAAATATTCCTAAGTAAAACGTTATTTTAATTAAATAGAAAAATTGTCCCTAAATCGTAAAATGCAAACATATAATGCCATAAACGTCCATCCGGAGCAGAAATAGCGCGATTAGTTGACAATTGGAAAAGAATCGTCCCAATTTGCAGGATACTGAGTGGGCGCCAGTTGCAGGAATGACGTCACAAGAGCGGGGCACCTCTTTGAAGGTGTCTGCTGACCACATCGGGGTGTCCCTCGTGAAGATCCCACCTTCATGGTCAGTTCTTTAACAAACCAGTCAGTCGGCCACCGGCAACCGCGCAAATTATACACAATAATATTGCCTCGTTATCACTTTTGCGAGAACTTGATTTTGGGTGTTTTAATTTTTTTTTGAGTGCTAGTGGACATATTTTAAATCTAGCAAGAGGAAGCTGTGGTAAGTTTCCAGGACTGCTCATTTTGCACATTTTTTCCCATTGTCAGTCTCACTGATAGCGACGTGACTTGTTGAATATTTTTTAAAATTGTTTTCGTATGTGTTATATGAGGCGTGTCTTGTAATAAAATAACACCTCTGTTCTGACCATGTCTATCGATAAATCGCATTTTTTCCGTAAACTCGTTCGACACCTACTGTTCTGTTCTGAGTCACTAATGAATATCCAACTCCAAAATTTTTCAAAAATACGGAAAAAAATCACCAAAGATGACATCATTTCAATTTAAAGTTTACCTTTTATGGGCGTCTGTTTACAAACAAACTAAAAATGTTTGCTTTCTTGTAACATAAAATCCGACATCCGAAAAAATTTCTAAATTCACAGAATCTTCTTTGCCGGACTTGGACTAGGTACACATACTGGTCATTTATGCAAATTACGATCGTAAATTATCAAACAGATTATGTTTCTGAGGTTAAAAATAACTCACCTTTGTGGTATTCCGTTACATCAATACAATACACAAATTTGTTATTGTTTAAATTTGTGACAAATTTATCTCGAGGCATTATTGCTTTATAGCCTAATTTTCCAAATTTGGTGGCGACCAAATATGGCAAAGAGTTTACACTTTTCCAGACGTTCTTGGCCGACAACTTTTACGCAATACTTGACTGTTCATCAGCAAATAAGTCGATGATTTGTTATTTCGTTCATTCTAAAAACAACGAGACAATTATGAAATTGTTCAGCTCAGTTTGATTTATGAAAAACTTGCGAATCACTTCCATTTTCACACTTTATAATGACAAGGAATGACAAATTTATTATGGACGCATAGTTCGATAATTAATAAACAAAACGATGATTAAAGATGAAAAATAGAGGACTGTTACATAATGTTGACCATACAGCAGAATTTCTATGGATATTTATGGTAATAGAAACAAGCCGATAAGTCGCATTTACTTTCAAAATGAGTCAGTTTCGGTGTCAGAGACTTGATTTAATTAATTACCACGTTTATGATCTGTTATTGGTAATAAAACTTAAACTACATATTTTTTCAACACAAATATCTTGTCAGATATTAAGTATAGTCCATAAAATGTAAGAAGATGAATGCTCCTCCCTTTTTGAACTGTCAGCAATTAGCAAACCAATAATCGTATCATGAACAATTTTTTTCCCCTGATTATTACGTATATTATACTAAAATCAACACAATTCCATAATGTACAATTAATACATTGCTAGGTTGGTAGCTGTGCCTAGTTTTTTAGTGCTCTAGATGGCAGTAGTAAATTCTAACTAATTTTTGTAAATATTGTTTATTCTGAGAGACTTTTTACCAAAAACTTTGAAGAGCGACTAATTACACTGACCGATTATCGCACAAAATACACGAGTGGATGTTATAAAAATGAGTTTATTGTAGTTTACGAGTATTAAATATAATTAAAGGACGCTATCTGATTTGATTAAACTTCACTAAAATAAAAATTAAAGTATACAGGGTGTTCCGTTTTTATTGTTACAAATTTAAACAGGTGATAGAATATTCAATTTTAAAACAAAAGCTTCCTATGAACATGTATCAAAAAATGTTAAGTAAGCGAGCTACACCCCCTGAAAGAGATACGTTTTTTAATGGGATTTTCTGACTATTGCAAAATACATAGATAAAATTACAAAAATTGGTACAGCTGAACGCATTTAAAGATCAGTTGTCAAAATGTGTAATCACGGGCGTCTTAAACGTTAAAACGAGTTTAATTTTTAATTTTGATCCGCTTTATGATCTGTAATTCGTTTGGGTGTATAGAGGTTTTCAATTTCAAATTTTGCAATTTACAATGGTTTCTTCATCCCCTTTTAGGAGATGCAACTCCCTCATATAAAATTTTTCGATACTGTTCATAAGAAACTTTTTTCTTAAAATTGAATATTTTATCATTTGTTTAAATTTGTAACAATAAAAACGGAACGTCCTGTATAACAAATACACCAATTTTTATTATTATTTATTATTATTTTGATATTCATATTATTTAATTATTTATTTCTGACTTGGCCACTTTTAATTGTAAAAGTTTATTTTAATATTTGGTTTTAGTAATTTTTGTTCTTAAATAAATTAATAA